CCTGCTGTGTAGTGAGATAGCTAGACACAGAGCCAGTCAGCTGTGTAGTGAGATAGCTAGACACAGAGCCAGCCAGCTGGGTAGTGAGATAGCTAGACACAGAGCCAGCCAGCTGGGTAGTGAGATAGCTAGACACAGAGCCAGTCAGCTGTGTAGTGAGATAGCTAGACACAGAGCCAGCCAGCTGGGTAGTGAGATAGCTAGACACAGAGCCAGCCAGCTGGGTAGTGAGATAGCTAGACACAGAGCCAGCCAGCTGTGTAGTGAGATAGCTAGACACAGAGCCAGTCAGCTGTGTAGTGAGATAGCTAGACACAGAGCCAGCCAGCTGTGTAGTGAGATAGCTAGACACAGAGCCAGCCAGCTGTGTAGTGAGATAGCTAGACACAGAGCCAGCCTGCTGTGTAGTGAGATAGCTAGACATAGAAGCAGTCAGCTGTGTAGTGAGATAGCTAGACACAGAGCCAGTCAGCTGCGTAGTGAGATAGCTAGACAGAGAGCCAGTCAGCTGTGTAGTGAGATAGCTAGACAGAGAGCCAGTCAGCTGTGTAGTGAGATAGCTAGACACAGAGCCAGTCAGCTGCGTAGTGAGATAGCTAGACAGAAAGCTAGTCAGCTGTGTAGTGAGATAGCTAGACACAGAGCCAGTCAGCTGTGTAGTGAGATAGCTAGACACAGAGCCAGCCAGCTGGGTTGTGAGATAGCTAGACATAGAAGCAGTCAGCTGTGTAGTGAGATAGCTAGACACAGAGCCAGTCAGCTGCGTAGTGAGATAGCTAGACAGAGAGCCAGTCAGCTGTGTAGTGAGATAGCTAGACAGAGAGCCAGTCAGCTGTGTAGTGAGATAGCTAGACACAGAGCCAGTCAGCTGTGTAGTGAGATAGTTAGACACAGAGCCAGCCAGCTGTGTAGTGAGATAGTTAGACACAGAGCCAGCCAGCTGTGTAGTGAGATAGTTAGACACAGAACCAGCCAGCTGTGTAGTGAGATAGCTAGACACAGAGCCAGCCAGCTGTGTAGTGAGATAGCTAGACACAGAACCAGCCAGCTGTGTAGTGAGATAGCTAGACAGAGAGCCAGTCAGCTGTGTAGTGAGATAGCTAGAGACAGAGCCAGTCAGCTGCGTAGTGAGATAGCTAGACAGAGAGCCAGTCAGCTGTGTAGTGAGATAGCTAGACAGAGAGCCAGTCAGCGGTGTAGTGAGATAGCTAGACACAGAGCCAGCCAGCTGGGTAGTGAGATAGTTAGACACAGAGCCAGCCAGCTGTGTAGTGAGATAGTTAGACACAGAGCCAGCCAGCTGTGTAGTGAGATAGTTAGACACAGAACCAGCCAGCTGTGTAGTGAGATAGCTAGACACAGAGCCAGCCAGCTGTGTAGTGAGATAGCTAGACACAGAGCCAGCCAGCTGTGTAGTGAGATAGCTAGACACAGAGCCAGCCAGCTGGGTAGTGAGATAGCTAGACACAGAGCCAGCCTGCTGTGTAGTGAGATAGCTAGACACAGAGCCAACCAGCTTGGTAGTGAGATATCTAGACACAGAGCCAGCCAGCTGGGTAGTGAGATAGTTAGACACAGAGCCAGCCAGCTGGGTAGTGAGATAACTAGACACAGAGCCAGCCAGCTGGTTAGTGAGATAGCTAGACACAGAGCCAGCCAGCTGTGTAGTGAGATAGCTAGACACAGAGCCAGCCAGCTGGGTAGTGAGATAGTTAGACACAGAGCCAGCCAGCTGGGTAGTGAGATAACTAGACACAGAGCCAGCCAGCTGGGTAGTGAGATAGCTAGACACAAAGCCAGCCAGCTGTGTAGTGAGATAGCTAGACACAGAGCCAGCCAGCTGGGTAGTGAGATAGCTAGACACAGAGCCAGCCAGCTGGGTAGTGAGATAGCTAGACACAGAGCCAGCCAGCTGTGTAGTGAGATAGCTAGACACAGAGCCAGCCAGCTGGGTAGTGAGATAGCTAGACACAGAGCCAGCCAGCTGGGTAGTGAGATAGCTAGACACAGAGCCAGCCAGCTGTGTAGTGAGATAGCTAGACACAGAGCAAGCCAGCTGTGTAGTGAGATAGTTAGACACAGAGCCAGCCAGCTGGGTAGTGAGATAGCTAGACACAGAGCCAGCCAGCTGTGTAGTGAGATAGCTAGACACAGAGCCAGCCAGCTGGGTAGTGAGATAGTTAGACACAGAGCCAGCCAGCTGGGTAGTGAGATAGCTAGACACAGAGCCAGCCAGCTGTGTAGTGAGATAGCTAGACACAGAGCAAGCCAGTTGTGTAGTGAGATAGTTAGACACAGAGCCAGCCAGCTGGGTAGTGAGATAGCTAGACACAGAGCCAGCCAGCTGTGTAGTGAGATAGCTAGACACAGAGCCAGTCAGCTGTGTAGTGAGATAGCTAGACACAGAGCCAGTCAGCTGTGTAGTGAGATAGCTAGACACAGAGCCAGCCAGCTGGGTAGTGAGATAACTAGACACAGAGCCAGCCAGCTGGGTTGTGAGATAGCTAGACACAGAGCCAGTCAGCTGTGTAGTGAGATAGCTAGACACAGAGCCAGCCAGCTGGGTAGTGAGATAGCTAGACACAGAGCCAGCCAGCTGGGTAGTGAGATAGCTAGACAGAGAGCCAGCCTGCTGTGTAGTGAGATAGCTAGACATAGAAGCAGTCAGCTGTGTAGTGAGATAGCTAGACACAGAGCCAGTCAGCTGCGTAGTGAGATAGCTAGACAGAGAGCCAGTCAGCTGTGTAGTGAGATAGCTAGACACAGAGCCAGTCAGCTGCGTAGTGAGATAGCTAGACAGAGAGCCAGTCAGCTGTGTAGTGAGATAGCTAGACAGAGAGCCAGTCAGCTGTGTAGTGAGATAGCTAGACACAGAGCCAGTCAGCTGCGTAGTGAGATAGCTAGACAGAGAGCCAGTCAGCTGTGTAGTGAGATAGCTAGACAGAGAGCCAGTCAGCTGTGTAGTGAGATAGCTAGATACAGAGCCAGCCAGCTGTGTAGTGAGATAGCTAGACACAGAGCCAGTCAGCTGTGTAGTGAGATAGTTAGACACAGAGCCAGCCAGCTGGGTAGTGAGATAGTTAGACACAGAGCCAGCCAGCTGTGTAGTGAGATAGTTAGACACAGAGCCAGCCAGCTGTGTAGTGAGATAGCTAGACACAGAGCCAACCAGCTGTGTAGTGAGATAGCTAGACACAGAGCCAGCCAGCTGTGTAGTGAGATAGCTAGACACAGAGCCAGCCAGCTGTGTAGTGAGATAGCTAGACACAGAGCCAGCCTGCTGTGTAGTGAGATAGCTAGACACAGAGCCAACCAGCTTGCTAGTGAGATAGCTAGACATAGAGCCAGCCAGCTGGGTTGTGAGATAGCTAGACACAGAGCCAGCCAGCTGTGTAGTGAGATAGCTAGACACAGAGCCAGCCAGCTGTGTAGTGAGATAGCTAGACACAGAGCCAGCCTGCTGGGTTGTGAGATAGCTAGACACAGAGCCAGCCTGCTGGGTTGTGAGATAGCTAGACACAGAGCCAGCCAGCTGGGTAGTGAGATAGCTAGACACAGAGCCAGCCAGCTGGGTTGTGAGATAGTTAGACACAGAGCCAGCCTGCTGGGTTGTGAGATAGCTAGACACAGAGCCAGCCAGCTGGGTTGTGAGATAGCTAGACACAGAGCCAGCCTGCTGGGTTGTGAGATAGCTAGACACAGAGCCAGCCAGCTGGGTAGTGAGATAGCTAGACACAGAGCCAGCCAGCTGGGTTGTGAGATAGCTAGACACAGAGCCAGCCAGCTGGGTAGTGAGATAGCTAGACACAGAGCCAGCCAGCTGGGTAGTGAGATAGCTAGACACAGAGCCAGCCAGCTGTGTAGTGAGATAGCTAGACACAGAGCCAGCCAGCTGTGTAGTGAGATAGTTAGACACAGAGCCAGCCAGCTGGGTAGTGAGATAGCTAGACACAGAGCCAGCCAGCTGTGTAGTGAGATAGTTAGACACAGAGCCAGCCAGCTGGGTAGTGAGATAGCTAGACACAGAGCCAGCCAGCTGTGTAGTGAGATAGCTAGACACAGAGCAAGCCAGCTGTGTAGTGAGATAGTTAGACACAGAGCCAGCCAGCTGGGTAGTGAGATAGCTAGACACAGAGCCAGCCAGCTGTGTAGTGAGATAGCTAGACACAGAGCCAGCCAGCTGTGTAGTGAGATAGCTAGACACAGAGCCAGCCAGCTGGGTAGTGAGATAGCTAGACACAGAGCCAGCCAGCTGTGTAGTGAGATAGCTAGACACAGAGCCAGCCAGCTGTGTAGTGAGATAGCTAGACACAGAGCCAGCCAGCTGGGTAGTGAGATAGCTAGACACAGAGCCAGCCAGCTGTGTAGTGAGATAGCTAGACATAGAGTCGGCCAGCTGGGTAGTCAGCTTACTAGACATATAGCTAACCAGCAAGCCAATCGGCTAACTGGACCCATCTCCAGCGCACTAACCTATTGGCAATCTAGACACATAGCCAGCCAGATGGCTCGTCAAGCAGCCAGTTAGTGCTCCAGCTAGATATTCAACCAGCCAGCTAACTTGTTAACCAGCCAGTGAGCCAGCCCACGATCCAGCCAATGAATCAGTCAGGCGACTGGTGGATCAGGTAGCCATCCAGGTGTCCACCGAGCAAGTCAAACTTCAAAACGCCAGCTGACCAGCCAATCAGACTAGTCAACAAGCAGCCATCAATATAACCCTCTCACTCAGCCAGCTATATACAACGCCGCCCCAGCAGCGAGACACGCACTCGCTCGCGCATCCACCCACCAACAAAATCTTCCACCCACTCGGCCATCATATCCCACCCACGCAGACACTCAGCGCACCCCGTCCTCTCGCTCCTCTCCCTCCCACCCTCCTCTCCCCATATCCTCACTCTCCCGCATCTATTCTCCCCCTCTCCCCCCTCTCTCGCATCCCTCCCTCTCTCTCTCTCCCTTTCCGCTACACTCGCTCACGCCGCTCATCATTACTCGACGTTCAGACGCCGAGAAGAGGCAGCGTCTGTCGGTCACGGGAAGACGTTCAACCGAGAAGAGAAGACCCGGGCAGTTATCCAGCCGTCCACCCGCCCATCGCTACCCACCCTCCCACCCGCATACCTACTAGGCTGACCGTATTCCTACCAGGCTGAGCGTATTCCTGCTCGCCTGCCCACCCACCTGCTGCCCGCCTGCTCAACTATCTTAACAACAACCTTCCTATTTCACCCAACTACCCAGACCACCTACCTGGCCTCCTGCCCACCTACCCGCCCATCCATCTACCTACCTGCCCACCTACCTGCCCACCTACCTGCCCACCTGTCTGCCCACCCGCTCAACCGGTAGCCCATCTCAGTGCCCTCCCTCCCAACTAATTCATCCACCCGCCAAACTACCTGCCCAACTACCCTTGCCCATCCACCTAGGACTGCCGTTCACTCAACTGCCTGCCCACCTGCTCGTCCACCTGCCCGCCCCGTCGCAGAGGCGTGAAGGCGACGCCGCCGCCGGGAGGAGAGCCACTCGAGTGGGAGACGACCCGAGTCCGGATCCTTCTCCACAGCGAGCCGCGCGTTATTGGTATGGCGTGCACGTGTGTGTGGGCACGTGCGGGCTCGCGCGTGTGCGTCGTGTGTGAGAGTTGTGTGTGTGCGTGTGGCTGTGTATACGCAGCTGGTGGCGCGCTGCGCTACGAACCCGGCGACCCCGAGTTTGCTTCCGTGACCGATTATTTGAACCGGTCATGGGCCACGTCTAGGTCGAATCAGCCTTAAATTAGTACCTGGTGCGGTGTTTAAACATCGCCACTAGTGAGACAAAGACGGCCGGGCGTGGTGCTGGCCATCCACCTCCTCGTGTGCCGTGCCGGCCTTCATGGGTGCTCGCGAACAGCTCTTGCCCCAACAGTCTGCTAACAGCTATATGGGGAGTCTTTGTCTTTGTGTGTTAATATGTCTTTGTATGACGTGCACGTTTGTGCGTGGGCACGTGTGTTTATGTGTGTGGGTGCGTGGATGTATACTTGGATGTGTGTGTAATATATGAAAGTGTGTGGTGGTGTGTGTGTGAAAAGGTATTGGTATTGCATGCACGTGTGCGTGGGCGCATTGTGATTGCGTGTGGGTGGGCGTGTGGGCATGCGTGACGATGTGTGAGTGTGGATGTGTGTGGGTGTATGTGTTGTGAGAGTGTGGGTGGGCGTGTGGGCATGCGTGACGATGAGTGAGTGTGGATGTGTGTGGGTGTATGTGTTGTGAGAGTGTGGGTGGGCGTGTGGGCATGCGTGACGATGAGTGAGTGTGGATGTGTGTGGGTGTATGTGTTGTGAGAGTGTGGGTGGGCGTGTGGGCATGCGTGACGATGAGTGAGTGTGGATGTGTGTGGGTGTATGTGTTGTGAGAGTGTGGGTGGGCGTGTGGGCATGCGTGACGATGAGTGAGTGTGGATGTGTGTGGGTGTATGTGTTGTGAGAGTGTGGGTGGGCGTGTGGGCATGCGTGACGATGAGTGAGTGTGGATGTGTGTGGGTGTATGTGTTGTGAGAGTGTGGGTGGGCGTGTGGGCATGCGTGACGATGAGTGAGTGTGGATGTGTGTGGGTGTATGTGTTGTGAGAGTGTGGGTGGGCGTGTGGGCATGCGTGACGATGAGTGAGTGTGGATGTGTGTGGGTGTATGTGTTGTGAGAGTGTGGGTGGGCGTGTGGGCATGCGTGACGATGAGTGAGTGTGTATGTGTGTGGGTGTATGTGTTGTGAGAGTGTGGGTGGGCGTGTGGGCATGCGTGACGATGTGTGAGTGTGGATGTGTGTGGGTGTATGTGTTGTGAGAGTGTGGGTGGGCGTGTGGGCATGCGTGACGATGAGTGAGTGTGGATGTGTGTGGGTGTATGTGTTGTGAGAGTGTGGGTGGGCGTGTGGGCATGCGTGACGATGTGTGAGTGTGGATGTGTGTGGGTGTATGTGTTGTGAGAGTGTGGGTGGGCGTGTGGGCATGCGTGACGATGAGTGAGTGTGGATGTATGTGGGTGTATGTGTTGTGAGTGTATGGGTGTGTGGAGCGGCAGCTTCTGTTCGGTAGGATAAATAAGTGGGCTAATCATGCGCAGCACGGACTGGGGGGAAGAGATTGACTGATGCGGTACAGGAGGATGTGGAGCTGATTTGACTTGCCGATGACTTGTAGCAGCAGTGTCAAGATCGCCCTCTGTGAAGGAGGATCGTGAATGACGCTCCTGGGGAGTTGGAGGCAATCGCCCTCCAGCCACAACGGAGGGCTGAGGAGCGACGCTCACAACAACGAGCAGCAGAGCGCAGGACGGCTAAGGCTTAGAGAGTTGGCACAGTGCTAGGCACAGGTGGTGCATCTGTCAGTCATATCCGAGAGTTATCCCATGGCTTCTGGGTCTGTCCCGTGACCTGCTGCTGGCGAGCTTTCGACAGTTCACGTGGCCTCAAAGTGCACTTAGCCTGCCACAAGCGCCGTGGTGACGTTGCGGCAACTTCGTGGCGGACGGCACTTGCTCCTCCGTGGTTACGTGTGAGTGTGTATGGGTATCGGTGAGTGCGTGTGGATATGTGGCTATACGTGTATGTGGTTCTATCTGAGTGTGTGTGTGATTGTCTGTATGGATAGGGCGGTAGTGGAGAGCTTAGCGCGCTACGCTACGAACCCGGCGACCCGACTTCGAATTCCGCGCACGGCAAACATCGGTGACGATTATCTGAATCGATCCTGGGTCTTTCCTAGGTTGACTCAGCCTTAAACAAGTCTCTGGTGTGGTGTGTATAACATCAGCACTGCGGAGACAAAGGCGACCAGGCGTGGTGCTCCCCATACCATCCCCTCGAGTGCCGTGACAACAGCACTTGCCCCAACAGTTTGCTAAAGGCTATACGGGGTGGGGGGAGTCTTTGTATATATGGGCGATATCGAGTGCGTGTGTGGAAGACTGAGATAGCGTGCGTGTGCACATGAGAGATTGTGTGCGCGCGTGAGAGAGAGAGAGTTTGTTAGTGGGGAGCGGTCGTGCGGTTAGCGTGCTGGTATTACAAACCTGGCGAACCGGGTTCAATTCCCGCTCACGGCCAACACCGGTGACGATTTTCCGAACCGTTCCTGAGCCTCCCCTAGGTCGACTCAGCCTCTAATGAGTATATGTAAACATCGCCACTAGGGATACAAATGCGGCCGGGCGTGGTGTTGGCTACCCACCCCTTCGTGTGTCGTGCCGGCCTTCATAGGAGCTCGCTAACAGCACTTGCCCCTACATTCTGTTCAGGCTATACGGGGGATCTTTATCTTTTTGTTTTTGTTAGCGGGGAGCGGTAGTGTAGCGGTTAGCGCGCCGCGCTACGAACCTGGCGACCCCGCTCAAGGCCAACACCACTGACGATTATCTGACCTCCCCTAGGTCGACTCAGCCTCAAATTAGTTCCTAGTGCGGTGTGTAAAAAACATCTCCACTGGGGAGACAAAGGCGCTCGGGCGCGGTGCTGGCCACCCCACTCCCTTGTGTACCTTGGCGGCCTTCACAGGTGCTCGCTAACAGCACTGGCCTCAACAGTCTGTGAAAGGCGTTGTTAGCGGGGAGCGGTAGTGTAATGTATGCCACCCGCCGTTGTGGAGGGCTTCATTGAGCAGTGGAATCATCGTCGTCGTCATCTGGGGAAGGTGGGGGAGGGGGCGCAGGGATTAGAGCTCACAAGTTTAATCTCTGTCTGGGGTGCACTTGGAACGTAATCCTTCTATAATACCAATTAATAATACATTGTAAAACGATATAACGACATGCAAATCTTATATTAATATTGATACAGTGATACGATTATGAGCTGGTGGTTATTATTCACGACTGTGAATGCGGTGCTCTTATGAACTTAACCGGGATTTTAACCCGCTGGCTTTCGCGTGCCGGCCTTCATAGGTGCGATCGATGTTATTCACGATAGAGTTTGTTTTGATTGGGGGGTGAGATCGCCTCCATGTAAAACGTCTCGTACAACCCTCCTCCACCCGACACAGCCAATCCGTGAGGTGTGTCACATGAGCAGAACGTGGCAATGGGTCGCAACTTCAGCACCACCGGTGTGCTGGAAAGCAAAGCCACGACGCACAACATTCCTTCCCTGGAATTGCCATCCAGAGAAGTCGCCGGTTTCGATCTCTGGGCGCGGCAGTCGATGACAACAGCCCCCCCACCGCCCCCCCCCTCCACCGCCTCGCTCCACGCAGCAGTAGACACAGCCAATTATTAAGGTCTGTCACGTAAACAAAATGTGCCAATTAGTTACTACTCAATGGGCTCAGTAAGTCAGTGCGGTGGGGAGAAGTGTGGGTGGCTTCCACACGTTCCAAGACGCTCTGCCACGAGCGCTGGAAGAGTCAGCCGAGCAGCATCGAAGGAGCGAGCGCATCTCTCCATCGCTTCCCTTCCCCCACGGGCATTGGCGCGAGCAAAGAAAGTGCAGGGTTGCGCCTTTGCCTTCGTCAGCTTAAGATATTTAATAAAAAAAAATTTGCAACGTTATTACTTTTTTCATTTCGTTTCAGCAACATTTTTTCGCCTTTAGCGCATTATGGAAAAATTCGCTTGGCGGAGTCCAAAATACGCGCGTGTCTCCGTAAACTGCAGCAGCAAGCAAATTACGTGGCTATATAATTTATTAGCGCGTGTTCAAAGTTAAAAGTCAAACGTTCATTATATAGTTTTATAGTCTTCGCAAACAATATATTATGGATTGCAAAGTGTTTTTATATTCCCAGCAACCATTTCACGTTGGGTGAACGTTGCATCAAAGGTTCCAACCGCTCGCCAACACTGGCAGACAGTTGCCACGTTTACACGGTAGTCATATTTTCAAGACCGCAGATCCATTCAGCGTTCACGTGGCACCAATGATCTGCAGTGCTACTTGGAGCATCTGGATGGCTATAGCGTTAAACATTAACACAATTACGAGCATCTGATTGGCTGCCATGGTGATCAATAGCTCTACTTCGAGCATCTGATTGGCTGTCGTGGCGACAGCCAAAGAACTAAGAGTATGAATCCTTGCAGTCACGAAAGCTTCAAATTTAGAATTAACATCATCTGATTGTCCAATCACATCCTCGTAACTGTTCCTCCACCTCCTCTGTCGTCATCATCGTCGTCATCGTCGTCGTCATTGTGACGTTGCACAGGCAGCGCCCGCCATGAGCGTGTGCAGCAGAGGCAGCGGCCGCCGGCGCAGCAGCAGCAGCAGCGTCAAGAACATCAACGGCGCCGTCGACGCGGGCGACGCGGGCAGTGACGGCGGCGGTGGCGGCGGGAACCCCTCGGCCGAGCCGTCCGAGTGCAACGAGGCGTTCCCCCGCTCCGCCTACCGCGACGTCTGCCTCAACATCGGCGGCGTGCGCTTCAGTCTCGACGGCGACCTCCTCTACCGCTTTGCCGACACGCGGCTGGCGCAGCTGTCGCGCTCGACGGATGCCGACGAGCGCCGGCGGCTGTGCGACGACTTCGACCCGCGCGCAAACGGCAGCGAGTTCTACTTCGACCGCGACCCCGAGGTGTTCCGCACCATCATCGACCTCTTCTACGACGGCGAGATCCACATGAACAAGGGCGTGTGCCCGCTCTGCTTCAAGGGCGAGCTCGAGTTCTGGAAGATCGACGCCGCCTTCCTCGACGACTGCTGCAAAAGCTCGTGCGTCGAGAAGGAGGAGGAACTCGACGAGATCGCGCGCCGGGTCCAGCTCATCCTCGAGGACCAGGGCCACGCGGGCGAGAGCGCCGCCACGCGCGTACGCAAGGGCCTCTGGATGCTCATGGAGAAGCCCTACTCGTCGCTGTTGGCGCGCCTGCTCGCCATCGTGTCGTTCGCCCTCGTCGTCATCTCCTCCGTCGTGCTCTGCCTCAGCACCATCCCCGAGATGCAGACGGTGGACGCCGCCGGGCGCCACGTGGAGCACCCGACGCTCAACGTCATCGAGACGGTGTGCATCGTATGGTTCACCCTCGAGTACCTGCTGCGCCTGCTCGCCGCTCCGCACAAGCTGCGCTTCGCCGTCTCCTTCATGAACGTCATCGACGTGCTCGCCGTGATGCCCTACTACATCGGCATGGCGCTCACCGACTTGGGCGAGGACGCCAACGGCCTCTCCAACATGCAGCAGGCCATCCAGGCGCTACGCATCATGCGCATCGCGCGCATCTTCAAGCTCGCGCGCCACTCGAGCGGACTGCAGATGCTCACGTACGCGCTCAAGGGCAGTTTCCGCGAGCTCAACATGCTGCTCTTCTACCTGGCCGTGGGCATCTTTCTCTTCTCGGCGCTGGGCTACACGGTGGAGCAGTACCACCCGGAGACGCTGTTCACCAGCATCCCGCACTCATTCTGGTGGGCCATCATCACCATGACCACGGTGGGCTACGGCGACATCTACCCCAAGACCAACCTCGGCAAGCTGAACGCCGCCATCAGCTTCCTGTGCGGGATCCTGGCCATAGCCCTGCCCATCCACCCCATCATCAACAACTTTGTGCGCTACTACAACAAGCAGAGGGTGCTGGACACGGCCGTCAAACATCAGCTGGACCGCATGGCTATGGGAGATCTGCTCAACTTTCCAGACAACATGAACGCGGTGGGAGAGTGCGGTGGTGGTGGTGCTGGTGGTGCTGGTGGTGGTTCTGTACGCGGTAAAGTGGTGAGCAAAGTTCACTCGTCGACCCCGCTGCTGAAACCGTCTCAGCACCAGCGATCCGTGAATCGCAACGTATGTTGAAGTGTCACGTCGGGATCATGGACAAGGTCTGATCGGCTGTCTCTCAGTCTCTCTCTCGCTGTTAATCTTTCTCTCTCTCTCTCTACCCATCTCTCTCTCTCTCTCGTTTATCTTCCGACACGTCCGTCACACTTCACCGATGAATGTTTTGTTCGCTACGGCGAGACGGATACATGTCTGGTGTCCGATTCAGAGTTTCCAGGGTACTGGACGTGCCAAAGTAAAATATAACACGATCCACAGAAGCAGCAGCAGCAGCGAGAAATCATCACGACCGCTGAGGATATCCACCAAGTCTCATGCGAGTGTCGTGATTTGAAGTGCCACTCGGCAGTTTGGAGATCAATCTCTTGGGGGGTCGAATGTATTTTCTGTTGGTGTTTATTATTAATAATGTTACTTTTTTTCCAGGGGATGGGGGCGTATTTGTATTAATGATAGCCGTGTAATTACAACAACGACGATGATGAATACGATGACGATGCTGATTATGATTTCGTCGGTCCCTCCGGGTTCGGAGGGCGATGTACGTTGAACTTCTTTCGCACCGTACGTAGCCAACCGTGCGAATCGGTGGGTGCGGGAGATGCACACAGCCGGTGGCTTTTGAGGTGGCCGGGCTGTCCAATTGTTGAACCACAGAGCTTTGGGTATTGGAGGGGGGGAGGGGGGCACGCAAACCCAAGTGGAAGTTGGATCCACAGTGCCGGGTTGGCTTCCTCCTGCTCTAGATTTGAAGCTTTCGTGACTGCAAGGATTCATACTCTTAGTTCTTTCGGTAAAGTCACGTAGGTAAAAAATGAAATTAAAATTAATAAAAAAAATAACGACGTTTGGGAGGCAACACAGTATATAAGGTCGTACATCTTGGGACTTCTCTCCACTTGATACAGATTTTTTGCTGTGACAGTTTTACCTGAAGACGGAAGCTTGTGTTGCCTCCGAAACGTCGTGATTTTTTATTTTTTTATTTTGTATTAATTTTAATTTCATTTTTTACCTACGTGACTTTACCGAAAGAACTAGGAGTATATATTCCTCCTGCTCACCATCGGACCATTGTTCTGCCGATGCACGGCCTACAGCGGCCAATCAGAGAACGCGTCAGAAGTAGAGGGGCGTGGCTTCATCCAGCAGTGGATAGACAATGGCTGCCGGTGGTGACGGTGTTGGTGTGGCCGGATGACACGATATTTAGATGGCACGAGCCGGTTGGAAAGCTCAAATGTCAGAATCAGCAGTCTCTCTCACACACGCACACGTGTTAAACACCGATTTGTGTTGATCGCATTTGTATACTCTGTATGATTAGTCATCTTCCGAGGTTTTCGTCACGCGATGTTTATGATATCGTGAGAGTGGAATTAATTGACCGGCGGTGATAGTTGTGTGTGTGTGTGTTCGTGTGTGTGCGCGTGTATGTGTATATATATGGAGGAGTGGTGGCGCAGTGGTTAGCGCGCTAAGGTACGAACCAACTGCGCGACCAATATCAATTGGCCCATATCTGAACACCGGTCTTGGGCATCTTCTAGGTCGACTCGACCTTAGGACATTAGAGTAGCCTCATGCGGTGTGTCGCAAACATCAGGAGCGGGGAGACAACAGCGGCCAGGCGCGATGTTGACCACCCCAACCCTTCTTGTGAAGTTCCGGCCTTCCATAGGTGCTGCTCACTAACAGCACTTGCCCCAACAGCCTGATAAAATATATACGGGGGGGGGGGGTCGTTGTCATTGTACATATCAACAGCGCAAATGGCAATCGAACACACGAACATTCAGTGAAGACAATTAAGGAACACAACACCAACAGCACAAGCGATATAACGTTGTTCGAATGTTTGTGCAGCTGTGAATCGGACTCCTCTCTCTCCTCCTCTGCCAGCCCACCCACCCACCCCCTGCCTGGCTCTCGCCTCCATCTCGATGTCACGGTGTGTGCTCTCCCTCGCACTCTCCCACCCGTCGATCCTCTCTCTCTCTCTCTCCCGAGCCGCTCTGGTCGCGCTCCCCACGTCTCTCATCTCGCCGGGCCCGCAGCACAAACCGCTCTACCTCATTCCACTGCTCGCCTCGTGCTGCCGTAATTCTGGAACACCTCCTCCTACTCTCACCTCTCGCCTCATCTCCCCCTCCTCGTCCTCCTCCCCCCTCCTCCTCCTCCCCCTTCTCCTCCCTGCCGTCCTCCTCCATCCTCCCCCCTCCTGCTCCCCCCTCCTTCTCACCCCTCCTCCTTCCTCCCCCCCCTCCATCCGGTCCCCCTCCCCCCTCCTACCCTCTCCCTCCTCCTCTCTCCCGTCCTCCTCCATCCTCCTCTCTCATCCTCCTCCCCCCCTCTACCCCCTCCACCTCTCATCCTCCCCCCCCTCCTCCTCCCTCTTCCCCCACATCCTCCTGCTCCACTGCTAACTTCTGCAACTCATTATCCTGCTGCACATTCTCGACCCCGCTCCCCCGTGCTCATGGCGCCTCCCGTGTCTTCCGACTTGATCAAAAGTCTCCGCTTATTTCTTTTTGTTTGTCTCGGCATCATTGCGTCACGATGGCGTCTCGCGGCAAGCGCTCATCCCGATGACCGGGACGCGTGTTGTGACGCCGCTTCCAGGAGCAGCTTTCAATAAAAGTTCGACGACAGAAGCGCGAACATCCTCCCTGTGCGTATCCTTTACACCGTTAACGATCCTAATGCTTCTCATCATAATCACGACGATTGTCGGATGTACACTCCCGTTATCACAAGGCAGAAACATCCCTCTGGGGTTTGATCTTTCCACCGAAGCTCACGGTCCACCCTAAATCGCATCCCAGTGCACAGACCGTGGCAGCAGATGCGGACACCTGATGCACGAATGGAAAGTGTAAAACCCTCCGGTAGTAGCGGTGCGACTGTGGTCATACAGAACAGACCGTAACGGCGTGTGACGACGCAATGCCCCGGGCCACAACTACGCAGAAGGAGACATCACAGCGGTTATCTGGGCTTGGCCGCCTTCGATGTGAAATTGAAGTCGTAGCTCTGCATCGACATCAACAGCCGTACGGAAGAAGAGGAAGAGGATAACACAACGCTGCATATTACATCGTAACAAAATATCATGACATCTTTCTTAACAATCGTCGTCATCATCATCATCATCAATCACGATCTGTCCACGGCTGGGTGAAAGTCGCTATCTCACGGTATAGCGATCCTACAATCCGTCTACCTCCAGCACACGAACCGATTCCACAGCAAGATGTTACTTTGACTTTGGGCACGATCGGTATCATTTTTGACCTGTGGCGAAACGACCAGTACACATTACGGCCGTCGCAAACAGCTTGCCTGCATCATGAACATAACCACCGATTCGCACTGTTGGCTAAGTACGGTGGGAACAAATGTCAACGTACTATTACTATTCACTATTTTCTTTAAATTTAATTTTGCCAGGTGAGGCCCACTGAGCTATGAAGCTTTTTTTCAGAAGCGGCCAAAATGTTTTATCTCAACGAAAGTGGCTCATCACCGTGTTGAAATTCATAGCAGCCAAATACTCTAAACGCGTGATGTTGAGGAGAAACCCGGATGACCCGGAGAAAAATCCACGCGGGGGGAGAGAGAGAGACACGCAAACTCCAAATATACAGCAGGCGTCCGGGTTAGTATCGAACCCACAACCTCTTGTATATCAGGCGAGGTTGTTAACATCTCGCCAGCGCGGCATCCCTGCCATACCATCAGCATAAGCACAGGAACGCGACCACAATCAACAGACCACCCACCACTGCACGTAACGCCACCAACTTAATCAGCACCACCACCACCACCACCACACCTCCTTATCTATCACCCATGAATGAGAAGCATTCCCTCTCGACCCGTGCAGATAAAAGCCCCGTCCAGCACTGCCTGCGGTACGTTGCTGCCGCTCCGCGATTTCAATCAGACCGGAGCAAATTAATTCGCGTGCCGTTAATTGCGAGTGGAAGAAGCTGCTGCTGCTTCCGTGGAGCGGAGCGGTTTCAACAAGCCGTCAAAACCAGTGCAAGCAAGGAGCCTCCACGTCGTGTGGGGAATCCTCTGAACCTGGCCCGGCCTCCCCGAGGTCGACACAATACACGCAAAGATAACAACAATGACCCCGCCCCTATCGACATCACGCATGCCCACACGCCCACCCACACGCAACCACAATGTGCCCAAGCACACGTGTACGCAATACCAATACCTTTACACACACACACACCACCATACACTTTCATATATTACACACACATCCAAGTATACACCCACGCACCCACACACATAACCACACGTGCCCACGCACACACGTGCACGTCATACAAAGACATATTAACACACAAAGACAAAGACTCCCCGTATAGCTGTTAGCAGACTCTCGGGGCAAGTGCTGTTAGCGAGCACCCATGAAGACCGGAACGGGTGGCCAGCACCACGCCTGGCCGCCTTTGTCTCCCTAATGGCGATGTTTACACACCGCACCAGGTACTCGTTCGAGGCTGAGACGACCTAGGGGAGGCCCAGGACCGGTTCAGATAATCGTCACTGGTGTTGGCCGTGAGCGGGAATAGAACTCGGGTCACCTGGTTCGTAGCGCAGCGTAGCGGTGAGCGCTACGCACCAACACACACTCCATCACTTTACCAATTTTTGCACTGGGCCGATAATGTTTTCATGTCGTGGGTGAAAATCTTTTCGAACAGGATTCGTGATGCCGCTATTTATTTCTGCACTTATGCATTTGCCGGCTGGTTATTTCATTTATTTAGACATGGAGCTAATGCTGTTTTTTCCCCCATTATTATCATCAGGCTGCCGCACGCTCGCCTCACCGCGACCCCGCGACGATTAGAGTGGAGTGGAGATGGAGTGTGATATTTACACCCCGAACCAACTAAGTCACGTGTGCGTGGTGGTGGTGATGGGGAGGCGGTGGTGCAGCGGTTAGCACGCTGCGCTACGAACCCGACGGCCCGGGTTCGATTCACGGCCACCAACCCCAGTGACGAATTTCTGAATCGGTCCTGGGCCTCCCGCGAGGTCGACTCAGCCTCAAATGAGTACCTGGTGCAGTGGTGTGTAAACACCGGCAATAGGAAGACAAAGGCGGCCGGGCGTGGTACTGGACACCCCTACTCCCTCGTGTGCCGTGTCGTAGTAGGCCACTGCAGTGCGAGCGTCTTCAACTCCACCGACTCTCCCTGTTGAAGCCGTCTCGTCGTGGACAACAGACCTCGACATTGGCATCGAGCTTCTGAACGTACTGAGATTCGCAGTGTCAGTCTATGGGCAATGTTAGTCTATGGGCAGTGTTAGTGTATGGGCAATGTTAGTATATGGGCAATGTTAGTCTATGGGCAATGTTAGTCTATGGGCAATGTTAGTATATGGGCAATGTTAGTCTGTGGGCAATGTTAGTCTATGGGCAATGTTAGTCTAAGGGTAATGTTAGTATATGACAATGTTAGTCTATGGACAATGTTAGTCTATGCGCAATGTTAGTCTATGGGCAATGTTAGTCTATGACAATGTTAGTCTATGGGCAATGTTAGTCTATGGGCAATGCTAGACTAAGGAACATACACCTGTAGAGTCTGCGCCCCTTCAACGGAGGAGGGAGATGAACAGCAAAAAATGCCACGAACCCTCCTCTCTCTCTCTCTGCTAAAGTCCAGCAGCATCAGCATTAGACCTTGGGCATCTTTCATCGAGCTCGTGAACCAGCAGCCCGCTTGCTGAATAGAATATTCGCTGAAAAACTCCCCCCAAGCCTCTCCCCTCTCCACCCTCCCCGCTCCCCCAATAAAATCGCTAACTGCTGTTGCCGCGTCCCATTAAAATGCGAGCGAGTCAATGAGATCCGCATGACGTTCGCTCGGACAATGCTCGTGACGCGAGGGGGAGAAGGGATCGGCGCTTCTGCTGCTGCTGCTGTGTGATCTATATTAAGGTGTCAAGCACGAGAGTGACAACACCAACCACGGGGTACGGTTACGGGGCAACAGAGAGCAGAGGGGCAGGAGGACAGGGGTGGGGAGTGGCATTGGAGTCCATGCCCTTGAATGTCCAGCGGCCAAAATTAGCGTCAAGAAAGAAAGAAAAAGAAAATAAACCTGCCGAGGTTGTTCGTCCGCTGCGTTGCAGAATTCGAGGCCACTTGCACTCGATACACGTGCGGTGGAGACAGTGACACTGCAATCGACACACGTGCGGTGGAGCCAGTGACATCGTCACACGTGCGAGTGGGCAGCTCATCCACCTGACCCTCGTCAGACACTCATCATCCCTTCTGGACATCTGTGAGAAAAAGCTTCATAGCTCATCAGACTCCTCCAGTATGAATACAGATTCTGATTCTGACACTCGCCACTCATCAATTCACCAGCCCACCACCGCCTCATCGTGCGTTAGCGACTCGCCTGACACTCACCGCGCATCGCTTTACGTTGAGTTTCGTCCCGGACGATGGGGTCATGGGGGGGAGATTTGGTCTCAAGTGGGCTGGTGGCGGGGGACGGTGATGACCTTTGAACCCTTCGTCGAAAAATAATAAAACTCAACACGTGCGTCAATAACGCTGTGCGTGCGTGTGTCCGTGCAGTCTCTCGCTCTGTGTTCTCGCGAACAGCACTTGTCTCAGCTGCCTGTCAGAGGCTATACGGGGGGCCTTTGTGTGTGTGTGTGTGTGTGTCGGTGGGTGCAGTAGTTGTAGCGGTGAGCGCTACGAAACCGGCGACCCGAGTTCGTACTCCGGCTCACGGCCAACACCGGTGACTATTATCTGAACTGGTCTTGAAACCCTCCCCGAGGTCGACTGAGCCTCAAATTGAGTGCTTGGTGCGGTGTGTAAACATCGCCACTAGGGATACAAAGGTGGCCGGGCGTGGTGCTGGCCACCCACTCCTTTGTGTGCCGTGTCCGCCTTCATTGGATCTCGCTGACGGCACTTGTCCCCACAGCCTGTTGGAGGCTATACGGGGATTCTTTGTGCGTGTTTTTGTGACGGATGTAAGAAGCTAAATTATAAATGTGCGTGGGCAGCGTGAATCCCCGCTGAAGCACGGAGCGACAGATACAAGTCGTGCCGCTCCCTCCCCCTCACTCTCCACCTACCTCTCTCTCTCTTTCTCACTCTCCTCTTCTCTCCCCTACCTCTTCATCTCTCTCTCGCAGTCTCTTCCCTCATCTCCCCTACCTCCTCTCTCTGTTCCCCCCAAACCCCTCTCGCTTTTCCCTTCTCTCCCCTCTCTCTCCCCTATATCCGTCTTCAACCTCCCCCTTCACCACACCTCTCCGCTCCCCTGCCCAAGTTGAGAGCAAGCGACAGGCGAGGTGGTGGTGACGACATCCACCGCTCAGTTGGGTCAAAAGCACGAGCCAAGGAATGATTTAAACGACGCGACACAAGCAGCGGCTTTCACATTACATTGGAACAAAATCAAGTTTTGCTTGCTGGCTGGCTGGCAGTGTCGCAACGTCGGCCGTGTAGAGGTGAAAGAGCAGTCAGAGCGCATCCCTCGCGGCGCTCCACAAAGGGCGACTCGTCCGCGTGAGCCGCTTCAAGCCAATTGAACGTTTCGTTTGTCACACGTGAAGAAAATCCCGTGCAGCCAGTTACCCAGCTAGCTTCGGTGGCGAACGCCCCGCGGCAGCCACGACCACACAGAGAGCCATCGCCGTTGTCGTGGTGGTGCTCGTGGTGGTGGTGGAGAGCTATCGTTGTTGTTGTGGTCGTGGTGGTGTTGGTGGTGGAGAGCTATCGTCGTTGTTGTGGTCGTGATGGTGGTGGTGGTGGAGAGCTATCGTTGTTGTTGTTGTGGTGGTGGTGGTGGTGGAGAGCTATAGTCGTTGTTGTGGTCGTGGTGGTGGTGGTGGTGGAGAGCTATCGTTGTTGTTGTGGTGGTGGTGGTGGTGGTGGTGGAGAGCTATCGTAGTTGTTGTGGTCGTGGTGGTGGTGGAGAGCTATCGTTGTTGTTGTGGTCGTGGAGAGCTATCATCGTTGTCGTTGTTGTGGTCGTGGTGGTGGTGGTGGTGCTGGTGGTGGAGGTGCTGGTGGTGGAGAGCTATCATCGTTGTCGTTGTTGTGGTCGTAGGTGGTGGTGGAGAGGAGTCTCGTTCAGCGGCCAGCCAGCAAACTCGAGGCTATAGATTTTTTAAAATATCACCCTCGGAGGTGGAAAATTTAACGTGCCCTCCTCCCTACCTCCCCCCCCCCCCGGGGCATCTCATTGGTCTCAAGCCCCGAGGGACTTTTGCCTGTTAATTATTAACACTCGCGGGTAATTGAAAACAGATTTCGAGGTAATTAGATCTGAAATGCATTTGCACCATCGCGGTGATGAATGATGCTCGCGCACATTGAGACGTTGCCTCTTGTGAAGCGATGATGATGATGCTGATGCGATCTAAACATGATGATGATGACGCTGGTTCAGCTGATGATGGTCATGTTCTGCATGTAATTATGATAGTCCTCTGTATGCAATGATGATAGTTAATTACGCTGAAGCTGCTGCTGATGGTGATGATGATGGTAATCACGATGACAAAGATGCTTTCCGCATGTGATCATGATGGCGCTCTGTGCCCTGCTGCTGCTGCTGCTGACGACGGTGATGATGATGGTGATGGGGAACGAATCGAGTTTGCTCTATTTGTGTTCTTGAAAATGTGGAGACGCAGAGCGGAGTTTGACTCGCGCACAGCGACACGCCGGTTCACGTCGGGGGTGCGCTCGTGAATGGTGCGACGACGGATATCGAAACGACGTCCATCGAAGCGACTTACGGGGAAGTCGAGGGTGGTGGAGGTGAAGGTTGCTATGGCGACGGATAACGATAGAAGGGACGCGTGACGCGTTCAGCGACGCACGTGTGGGGTCGAGGCGACGTAACTCGGGTCGTGGTGTTCGTAACAAAGTGGCGACGTATTTGCGAAGCGACGTAAAATGTGGAGGCGTATATCGGGGTATTACAGTACTTACTCTTAGTTCTTTCGGTAAAGTCACGTAGGTAAAAAAATTAATTAAAATTAATAAAGATAAAAATAAAATAAAAATCACGAGTTTCGGAGGCAGCAAATCTGACTGTGACGGTCTCACCTGATGACAGAGACTTGTGTTGCTTCCGAAACGTCCTGATTTTTATTTTATTTTTATCTTAATTAATTTTAATTTCATTTTTTACCTACGTGACTTTACCGATAGAACTAAGAGTATTAATCCTTGCAGTCACGAAAGCTTCAAATCTAGAATTACAGTACTTGTGTATATGATTGACAGGGGGAAGGTATCCCATCTCATTGAAGGTAAAATTACAATTATATAGGGGCAGCATTGTGGCCCAGTGGTGTATCGCCACGGCCGAATTCATCAAATGCCCTGGGAAAAGACAGCGTTTGGGGGAAAACATTAATGAACATGAGCACCCCTCTTTAAAGGAGGAGCTGGATGTATTCCTTCAGAAGATGACGCGTGGTTAGAGAAACCGCATAGGCACGCACACGCACGCGCGCACGCCACACCACAACACAGAATCTGACAGCGCTTCGAGCTTCGTTAATGATACGACCAGAACACGAATGGTGACCCTAGCCCCCCCCCCTCCCCCCCAACACTAAATCATTATACAATTACTCTCTGACCTCTTGAGCTCGATCCCGACATTGTCTAAGCGTCGCGTCGTCATTGGATGCGGGACCTACTACTACCACCAGGATTACTGTTGCAGTGACATTCACTTGTCCAGGACTCGATATACCATCAACCACACTTTGTTTTACGACTACCACCACACAGCAGGGGAAAACAACACGCACACCCACTCACTCACTGAATCACCCACTCACTCAACCCCACACTCAATCACTCAGTCACCCACACACTCACTCAACCACTCAAAATCCCACTCACCCACTCACTCACACCTTCACCCATCCATTCATTCACCCACCTACACACCCATTCACCTACTCACCCACCCACACAGTCACTCAACCCCACACTCAATCTTCCAGTTACCCACCCACCCACACACTCACTCAATCACCCACTCACTTATCCACACACTCACTCGATCACTCACTCACTCCCCCACACACTCACTCGATCACCCACCCACTCACTCACTCCCCCACACACTCACTCGATCACTCACTCACTCAATCTCCCACACACTCACTCAATCACCCACCCACTCACTCACTCCCCCACACGCTCACTCGATCACCCACTCACTCACTCAATCTCCCACACACTCACTCAATCACCCACCCACCCACACACTCACTCAATCACTCACTCACTCACTCCCCTACACACTCACTCGATCACCCACTCACTCACTCCCCCACACACTCACTCGATCACCCACTCACTCACCCACCCACTCACTCACTCCCCCACACACTCGATCACCCACTCACTCACTCCCCCACACACTCACTCAATCACCCACTCACCACACTGCTTCTCCTCTCGCACTGCTCTACTGTTAAATTCCTTTCCATGGCCCTTTTCCCCCAAGTATTTGTAACGACAACAACAACTTCGCACCACTGTGTGAGTGCTGATTGCTGCTGATCGCGTGGCGTATTCGACCTTCGGAGCTTTGCTCAGACTCTGTGCGTGAGAGCACAAACCAGCCCTCTCTCTCTCCATGTCACCCACCACTCCACCCGCTCGCTTTGCCTCCATCGCATGACATTGTTTTGTTATTCTGCATCTGCTAATCAGCGAATCATTAAGTCCGCGAGACTAATTGGGAACGGTAACGCGCGTTAATTGCCTCTGTCGCTCGGACTGACGCTTCTGAGTGGAGGTTGAACCCCCTGCTCCCCCCGCTGCCCCCGCCCCCCCCCCCCCCCCGAATGAGTCGAGATCCAAGGTCAGACAGTTTAGAGCACGCACGGTCCAACTTGACAGGAGAGCGTGTCAACAACAACAACAACCACCGGGTAAAGGCGCGGCCCTGCAATTGCGCACTCGCTCCCACTGCTGGAGGGACGACCTCCACCTGGAGAGAGCTCTTAGGGAGTTGCTCCAGAGGGAATCATTGACCTAAGCGTCCAGGCTGGGCAGGGAGTTACCCACATTGTACTCCCACCACACGCGATCTGATGTCCTTCCCAAGCACCTCCGATCGGCACGGTTGGATTTCATACGGTGCGAAAGAAGTTCAACGTTCGTACGCACCTGCGGCGGACCCCTTAACAACTGCCGGGTGGCCAGATGCGATGTCGGCAGCTCAGCGGCGTTGCTTCGAACAAAGCGTGCCACCGCCGATGAGACACTGCGTGTCGAAACCGGTCCACGGTGTCGCTTCTCTTGAAACGATGCTGCTGAATCGATGCGTAAAACAAAATATATTTCAGTAGTAGTAGGTTTTTACCCTTTAAACTGGTATAAAAACTGACACCTTTTGGTACCAGTTTAAAGGGTAAAAACCTACTACTATATTTTGCCACTGGTAAAAGAGGTCTCATAGTGTAAAATATATTTCATTTTATTTTGTACGTGGAGAGATGAATGTGTTTGAAGGGAGACGCGTCGTACGCTTTATTTGTTTTCGGATTCATATCTCCCCCACCACCACCACACCGACGCACGCAATTAGCCGTCCACGCTTCGCTTCGGAGGGCTCGCTCTTAGCGCCGGCTTGCTCAGGCGCCCGCAGTGGAGACCAAGAGAGGCGGGTAGATAGGGTTGAGGAGGAGGAGGATGAAGAGGATGCAGCATTCAATTTCT